GCGGGTGAGGGAGGTGCCTCCTCGGTCGATGGGTGAATGCCGGCTCCGTGACTCTGCTCTGACCTCCCATTTGCTGAGTGGCAAGTGCCTCATTACAGTGCATAGTTAAAAATCAAGGAAGCGGTACAATAAATCTGAATTACAGTACATCTGAGCCATAAATACATTTTTTTAAGTATATACTTTTTTTTCTCTTCTTCTATTAAAAATTAGTTTATAATCCTGATTCTATTCACAATTGACAATTTCATCATCACACACTACGGACAAAAAAATGTTATGGTGTCTCTGCGGCGGGAGCACGGGAAGGGGGGGAGGCCAGGAGGGGAGAGAGGGGTTGGGGGGCTCCTAGGCTCACCCTAAAACAACCAGTCAGAAGCGGGGGGACTAACGTGTGGCAGTGAGACATCAACACCATGGGGACTCACAGACAGAAGCAGCTTTGTTCAATGTAAACATCGATCGGAAGGGACAGCAGTCTCTCTCTCGTGCGTGCGTGCTCTCGCGCTCTCTCTCGCTTTCCATAGACTGAATAATTTCTTTGAAAACGTAAACATATTGGAAGTGCCTTGACTGAGGTATTGAGGTATTCCTCCAAGGTTAAGGCTGTTACCGATGCAGGCTTAGCTGGGCCTCCTGCAGCAAGCTGTCGAAATCCATGGTCTCGTACTTGCTTTTCACCGGAGCTGAGGACTCCTCCGCGCTGCAATCTGGGAACGGCAGAGACACAAGGCAGCCGGGTCAGGGAGCGGGGCACGAATGTGCTTGCTGCCTGGTGGGGAGGGAAACTGAGGCACAGCAGGGCACTGCTCGCTTCCCTGCTACCGGCATGCTGCATCCCAGCACCGCAAAGCCAGCTTGGACGAGGCACTGATGGTGAAAGGGAGCCCCACCACCCGCAGAGGGACGGGGTCCAGCGAGACCCTGGCTAACGCGGTCGCCGAGCGAGGCAGGAGGTCTTGCAGAAGCCCATACAGCACAGAAAGAGTTAATGCGAGCATAGCACATTTCAGTGCCGACATTTTGGCCCAAAAGTGCGTGTGCAGCGTGGTGAATCTGTCCTGCAGAGCAGCAAACCATCCAGATCACCTCTTGGGCTAAGGAGATGTTGCTGACTGCTTTCTTTAAGGACTGGGAAGGGACTTCTCTGCTGGAAAGTGTCCAGCGCTCTGTAGAAACACAGTGGAGACAGGATGGGCTGTGGTCAGCTGAGACTCAGCAGCCCTGGGATGCGATGCTACGTTTTGCAGCCAGCGCACTCCGGGTCCTCAAGCCAGTTGCTTTTGTTCTCTCCCCCCAGTTTCACAAGCCATCTGACTGAGCTAAGAGCAGCTATGTGAGCCATAGGAGAGCCGGTGGGCTTTTCCTGCAGGGTCTAAAGATATTTAGGATCCTTGCATGACTAGGGTTTAATGTGCCATTACAGCTCTGTGCTATGGATGCTTTGGAAAAAGCAGCTCCTGCTTTCTTACCCAAGTCAGCGTATCTGGTCCAGATGAAGTGCCCGAGGCCACCAGAGCTGAGCTGGAACGAAGGTTCATTCCTCTTCCTTAGCGAGGTGCCGTTCTTCAGAGATAAGGCGGCATGCTCTGAATACCGGTAGGTGATGAAGCCATATTTATCCCCCCTGAGCAGCCAGAGAAAGAATTCAAGATGCGATGGGCCCCGCAGCCCCTCTGACGCAGCTCTGCCCAGCACCGCACCCCTGGCCCTCCATCCTGCCGGGCCCTCCATCTCACTGGCCCTTCCCATGCCCTTGAACCTGGGGACACACTGTATCTCCTCATCCAAAGTGCCAGGACCGCAGGCTCGGCTGACCGCAGGGGCTGGCGTGGTACAGAGCACTTCACCCCATCGGCACAACCACATCACTCGCACACGCACAGCTGGATGCAGAGG